AAAATTAAAAAAAAAAAATAAAGCAGAGATAATACCTATCCTTCTCAAACTATTCCAAGAAATAGAGGGGAAAGGAAAACTTCCAGACTCATTCTATGAAGCCAGTATTACTTTCATTCCTAAACCAGACAGAGACCCAGTAAAAAAAGAACTACAGGCCAATATCCCTGATGAATATGGATGCAAAAATTCTCAATAAGATACTAGCAAATCGAATTCAACGGCATATAAAAGGAATTATTCACCATGATCAAGTGGGATTCATTCCTGGGATGCAGGGATGGTTCAACATTAGCAAATCAATCAACGTGATACATCACATTAACAAAAAAAAAAAGAGAAGAACCATATGATCCTGTCAATCGACGCAGAAAAGGCCTTTGACAAAATCCAGCAACCTTTCTTAATAAAAACCCTTGACAAAGTCGGGATAGAAGGAACATACTTACACATCATAAAAGCCATTTATGAAAAGCCCACAGCTAACATCATCCTCAACGGGGAAAAACTGAGAGCTTTTTCCCTGAGATCAGGAAGACAACAGGGATGCCCACTCTCACTGCTGTTGTTTAACATAGTGCTGGAAGTTCTAGCATCAGCAATCAGACAACAAAAGGAAATCAAAGGCAGCAAAATTGGCAAAGATGAAGTCAAGCTTTCGCTTTTTGCAGATGACATGATATTATACATGGAAAATCTGATAGACTCCACCAAAAGTCTGCTAGAACTGATACATGAATTCAGCAAAGTTGCAGGATACAAAATCAATGTACAGAAATCAGTTGCATTCTTATACACTAACAATGAAGCAACAGAAAGACAAATAAAGAAACTGATCCCATTCACAATTGCACCAAGAAGCATAAAATACCTAGGAATAAATCTAACCAAAGATGTAAAAGATCTGTATGCTGAAAACTATAGAAAGCTTATGAAGGAAATTGAAGAAGATTTAAAGAAATGGAAAGACATTCCCTGCTCATGGATTGGAAGAATAAATATTGTCAAAATGTCAATACTACCCAAAGCTATCTACACATTCAGTGCAATCCCAATCAAAAATGCACCAGCATTCTTCTCGAAACTAGAACAAGCAATCCTAAAATTCATATGGAACCACAAAAGGCCCCGAATAGCCAAAGTAATTTTGAAGAAGAAGACCAAAGCAGGAGGCATCACAATCCCAGACTTTAGCCTCTACTACAAAGCTGTCATCATCAAGACAGCATGGTATTGGCACAAAAACAGACACATAGACCAATGGAATAGAATAGAAACCCCAGAACTAGACCCACAAACGTGTGGCCAACTCATCTTTGACAAAGCAGGAAAGAACATCCAGTGGAAAAAAGACAGTCTCTTTAACAAATGGTGCTGGGAGAACTGGACAGCAACATGCAGAAGGTTGAAACTAGACCACTTTCTCACACCATTCACAAAAATAAACTCCAAATGGATAAAGGACCTGAATGTGAGACAGGAAACCATCAAAACCCTAAAGGAGAAAGCAGGAAAAGACCTCTCTGACCTCAGCCGTAGCAATCTCTTACTCGACACATCCCCAAAGGCAAGGGAATTAAAAGCAAAAGTGAATTACTGGGACCTTAGGAAGATAAAAAGCTTCTGTACTGCAAAGGAAACAACCAACAAAACTAAAAGGCAACCAACGGAATGGGAAAAGATATTTGCAAATGACATATCGGACAAAGGGCTAGTATCCAAAATCTATAAAGAGCTCACCAAACTCCACACCCGAAAAACAAATAACCCAGTGAAGAAATGGGCAGAAAACATGAATAGACACTTCTCTAAAGAAGACATCCGGATGGCCAACAGGCACATGAAAAGATGTTCAGCGTCGCTCCTTATCAGGGAAATACAAATCAAAACCACACTCAGATATCACCTCACGCCAGTCAGAGTGGCCAGAATGAACAAATCAGGAGACTCTAGATGCTGGAGAGGATGTGGAGAAACGGGAACCCTCTTGCACTGTTGGTGGGAATGCAAATTGGTGCAGCCGCTCTGGAAAGCAGTGTGGAGTTTCCTCAGAAAATTAAAAATAGACCTACCCTATGACCCAGCAATAGCACTGCTAGGAATTTATCCAAGGGATACAGGAGTACTGATGCATAGGGGCACTTGTACCCCAATGTTTATAGCAGCACTCTCAACAATAGCCAAATTATGGAAAGAGCCTAAATGTCCATCAACTGATGAATGGATAAAGAAATTGTGGTTTATGTACACAATGGACAACTACGTGGCAATGAGAAAAAATGAAATATGGCCTTTTGTAGCAACGTGGATGGAACTGGAGAGTGTGATGCTAAGTGAAATAAGCCATACAGAGAAAGACAGATACCATATGGTTTCACTCTTATGTGGATCCTGAGAAACTTAACAGGAACCCATGGGGGAGGGGAAGGAAAAAAAAAAAAGAGGTTAGAGTGGGAGAGAGCCAAAGCATAAGAGACTCTTAAAAACTGAGAACAAACTGAGGGTTGATGGGGGGTGGGAGGGAGGGGAGGGTGGGTGATGGGTATTGAGGAGGGCGCCTTTTGGGATGAGCACTGGTTGTTGTATGGAAACCAATTTGACAATAAATTTCATATATATAAAATAAAATAAAATAATAAAAGAAAAAAAGAAAAAAAAGAAAATAAAACATTGTACCACAGTTTCCAATATTTTTCTAAATATAATGCTTAGGATCCAACTAAAAAAAATTATAAAACATATGAATAACCAGGAAAATACAATCCACAATCAAAAGGAAAAACAGAAGAAGTAAATACACTGATGATCCAGATACTGAAAATTAGCAAAGATTTTAAAACTCCGTTACTGATAAAAGAATTTGCAGAAAAATATTGGTAGACAGGTAAAGAGATAGATAATAGCAGGAGAAATATAAAACTCCCTAAAAAATAACCAAAAGATAATCTTAAATGTGAAAATTATGATATTTGAAATAAAAATTTCATTGGATAGAGTTTAACAGCAGATCAGACACCACAGAAAGGATCGGTGAGTTTGAATATAGAATAACATATATTGCCCAAACTGAATCAAAGAAAGAGAAAAAATTGAAATGAATGAACAGAGAGTAACTTCTTACACAGTAACAAGCATTCTAATATATGTGTAATTAGAGTCTCATAAAAAAGGATCAGAGAGGCAGTAAAATATGTAAAGAAATAATGAATGAAAATTTCCAAATTTGATGAAAACATCAACCCACAAACTCAGCTTGATGGACTGCAAATAGAATAAATATACGTAAAAAATAATTTTGGACTTTCACTTCTGGTCATCATGGACTAGGCCCATTCCTCTAATCACCCATCCTACAGTTAAAATCCATAGACAATACAACAAACTAACACAGGCAAATTCTGAAAGGAAGAAAGAGAAAGGCAGAGATCTCAAAACTTGAGGAATACATGAATTCTTTAGGTTTTCTTTTTACCTACATATAAAATGGATGGGACACTAGAAAAGCCTGACTCATGGAACTTCCAATAAGCACAGACTTAAAAAAAAAAAAAAAAAAAAGCACAACAACTAAGAAAAGCCAAAGGACTGTAAAAAGGGGGTCTCTAGCATAACCAAAACCTTTTTGACAATGCCTATCCTACTTGAGCCAAACACCAAGAATAAGCTGCACCCACTATCCATGTGTCGATAGGACTAAAAAATAATGTGGCAGTGAAAATTAGCCATCCAATTCCCCCACCAGAGTGATGATGTTGAGACCAACCAGGGAACTGAACTTCCACTCTTGTCTGAAATTAGCAGTCATAATGAGTCAAGGATATCTGCTCTCATCACTATTATTAAATATAATACTTGAAGCCAGAGCCAGCACAAGAGAAGGAAATAAAAAGCATTCAGACTGGATAGAAAGAAGTAAAATTGTCTCTATATGAAGATGACATAATTGTCCATGTAGAAAATCCAAAATATCTATAGAAAAACTAGAATGAAAAAATACATTGAACAAGGTTGTTTAAGATACAAGATCAACATACAAAAATCAATCATTATTTCTATCTACTACTTACAAAATGTGGAAACTAAAATTTAATACAATGCCATTAAAAAGTGTTCCAAAAAACATGAAATATTAATGCATAAAATCTAACAAACCATGTACAGGATCTGTATGATGAAAATTACAAAATGGTGATGAAAGAAATCAAACAAGACCGAAACAAATGGAGAGTCATACAATGTTCATGAATTGAAAGACTCAACATAGGTGTTTTATTACATGGAGCCAAACTCAATCCCTAACTAACAAAAATAATTATAAAATAGAAAAATAATACTCTACAAGTGTATTAAAGTACAGTTGAATATTATGAAACGTAAAATAATTCATCTCATCAATAGGTTAAAGGAGAACCACATACTTAATCACCTTAAGAGTTACATAATTTATATATACCAGATATTTGTTAAAATTCAATAAATTCTTGGGTTTTTTTACTTAGCAAAATTCAAATAGAAGGACACTTTCTTAACATGATAAAGAATATACATCTAAAACCAACAAGTAACCAAATGTTTAAGAATTAAACAGAACAGGGGCGCCTGGGTGGCGCAGTCGGTTGGGCGTCCGACTTCAGCCAGGTCACGATCTCGCGGTCTGTGAGTTCGAGCCCCGCATCGGGCTCTGGGCTGATGGCTCAGAGCCTGGAGCCTGTTTCCGATTCTGTGTCTCCCTCTCTCTCTGCCCCTCCCCCGTTCATGCTCTGTCTCTCTCTGTCCCAAAAATAAATAAAAAAAAAAAAAACGTTGAAAAAAAATTTAAAAAAAAAAAAGAATTAAACAGAACAGGCACTAGCAATAAAAATACGTTTAAAATACAGATAGGTCTTAATTAAACTTTAAGATAAGTGTTAGCAGAGGATAGAAAAATCAATACTCTACTTTCAAGTTCCCTAACCAGGTCATTTGCATGGATGGGAATTCATTCTGAGAACATAAATGGACTCCAAAAGAAAATCTTAACCCTTTTCAGTGTTAAATGTTTCTACATTAGGATTATATACACTTACAGATAAAGTTAATTCTTCATGTTCAGGCTTCACAACTGATTTTTCTCTGTCTACAATGCTAAATCCATAGGCTTCCTCCAAAGTAGAAACAACCTTTGAGTAAATCAAAGCAAATTTTTATTTTAATAATTTTATGTAAATTATATGTAAATTTATTAAGTGTAAAAAAAACACTTAATCAAACATGTCAGGACCTTCTTAGCAATAAGACTTCTTTCTACCAGTGCCATAAACTTAAACTTTCCATCTCACATCCCATATCATATCACCCTGAAGAAATAATAAGAAACAGTCCTCAACTCTACTCTGTAAGTCCCTATGACTCCCATTTCTGTGTTCATAGGCATGTAAAAGGCGATCTATGAATAGTTGAAGCATCAACTCCACTTATCACCAAAGTATTTCCTCAAAATCTGAGGGACTCAAATTTCTTCTTTGAAAAGAAGCGGACAAAATAGAAATGTAAACTAGAGAGCAATAAATTTTTTAAGGAAATTCTCTGAGCTAACCCTTCAAACTTTGAACAAACTTGTATTTTGGAAATTTCACAAAACTATATTCTTTTTATATTTGTGCTACCTCCCTCATTGGTCTCATTTGGTATGTGGTACATTCATAATTCAATTCGGGATCACTGTGCAAAGAGAAACTCAGAAAAAAAGGAGATTTTTTTTTTCCCAACACTAAGAGCTAAAGTTTCTAAAGTGCTGAGAAGAGTTAACATAGCAGGAATGAGCCAGAAAGGACTATCATTAGAAAGATCTGCTTTCAAGGTTGGCCTTAGACTGCTGCCTCAGAACTTGGATTTCATGAGTGTTCCCATCATTCACTGATTACAGTGGCTCATTGTCCTTAAACTGTTTGTACAAACAATGTGGTTTATGCTAAACATCTGCTTTCCTTCAATGTGGTTTATGCTAAACATCTAACTCCCTCTCCTTCAGGGAGTGTGGAATTTTGGTACATGCTAAGCAAAATACCTAGATGAGCAACCCCCAATAAAACCCTGGGCACTGAGTCTCTAATGAGCTTCTCCAAAAGACATTTCACATGTGCTGCCATAATTTGTTGTTGGAGTAATTAAGTGCATCCTGTGGGACTTTAAAGTAAGAGGAATCTTGGACCTAGTTTCCTCCAGACTTCACTCCATAAGCCTTTTCCTTTTGCTGATTTTGCTTTGTATCTTTTCACTGTACTAGATCTTAGCCATCAGTAGGTCTATATTTTGAGTCTAGTGCACCTTCCTAGCAAATCTCTAAGCCTAGGGATGGTCATAGAAACCCTAAACACAGGGACCAACAAGTGTCTTACCATCTTTAGATGTTTGGTAATTTTCCTGATCAATTCATCTTCTGCTATTAACTCCTTTGTCTTACTCGATGCAATGGGCAAAGCATATCTTACGATGGATTCCCCTGATGGTGGAGATCCTAAGACCATTGGTTCAAGTTTATCATGTACTAATTTTGCACTATGTTTTTCCTTTGGTTTAGGTGACAACGGTGAAGTAAATATTCCTTTTTTGTAAGTTAAATCTGGAACATTTGCCAATTTATTACTAGAGGCTGACAGATGTTTTGCGGACTTCATTTTGTTATTTTACTTCACTTCCAAATTATAGGTGAAAAAATTGTATTCCTCCCTGTAAATAAAACATTAAGATTTCACATTAAAAATTAGGGCAGGATTACCAATTGCAGTGAAGATGGTGAATACCAAAACCAGCACTGCAGAAATCACAAAATGGAGAGGAAACCATTCCTAACAACAAATAACAACAAAAAAATTTAAAAAAAAGAAAAAGAAAAAAAAGCCTGTGAGAAATCCTTAAAGGTGACTGAAGGCTGATTTATGTATGAGTATTTAGGATGGGGAGTTTTATATCTATCATTACTTGCATAGGAATAATAGCCTAGACCCAGGGTAACAACAGAGTAATATCAAGGCAGCACCAAAATCATGCTGGGTCCCCCCAAAAAATATATTCAAGTTCTAACCCCTGGCACCTGTGAATATGACCATATTTGAAAATACCATTTTTGTAGATGTAACCAAGTTAAGATGAGGTTATACTAGATTAGAGTGGGCCCTAAATCCAATGACTGGTATTATTATAAGAAAGCCAAATGAAGACAAAGATACACAGATGTATAGAGAAAAAGGTCATGTAATGACAGAGACAGAGACTGGAGTAAATCAGCTACAAGCCAAGGAACGTTAAATTTTCCCAGCATCCTTGCTAGGAAAAAGCAAGGGAAATTCTTCTTTCGAACCTTTAGAAGGAGCATTGCACTGCAAACACTTTAATTTCAGACTCTTAGACTCTGGAACTGTAAGAGAATAAATTACTATTGTTTTAAGCAACCTAGTTTGTGGTATTTTGTTATGGCACCCCTAGGAAACAAATACACACAAAAAATTTTCCCTAAATTTGATGGGAGGGACATAAACTGTGGCCTGTTTTTTGATCATTTCATAATAACAGATTACTAGACAAGAGTAGCTGACACTCCCAAAGACATGAGTTCACAGGCAAAAATAACTTGACACCTGAAAAATACAAGCTTTGCAAAGGAAAAGAAAGAAAAAAAGAAAGAAAGAAAGGAAGAAAGAAACAAAGAAAACTAAAAGAAAAGGTCCAGAGGCACCTGGCTAGCTCAGTCCGAAGAGCATGAGACTCTTGATCTCGGGGTTGTAAGATCAGGCCCCATGTTGGGTGTAGAAATTATATAAATACATACATATATGCATATATACATACATGTATACATGCTTTTAAAAAAAGTTTTAAAAAAAAGACAAACCAAAAATATACAAATACACACAAACAGAATATTAGCAACACAAAACAGGTATATGAGTATTTTTTTAAAGACTGAAGTAGAAATACTACAAACGAAAAATGTAATAAACATAACTGATCACAGAATAATATTGCTGAAGAATAAATTAGGCAAATGAAGATCAGAGTGAGATATTCTGCCAGAAAGCAGCAGAAAACGATAAAGAGATAGAAATGAAAAAGAAAATAAGAGATACATAGAAGAATTATACAAATATCAAAAACCAGATAAAAGAAGATCCAGCGAGGAAAAAAAATATGAAATGGACAGGAGGAAATATTTGAATAAATAATAAAGATAAATTTTTCAGACTTAAGGATAGTGGAAAGACAGATCAAAAGTGTTCACAAAATACCAAAAAGGAAACAGATAAACAACAAAACATAATTAATGAAATAAATATAAAAGCCTCAAAAAGAAAAATTTGAAAGTTTTCAGAAGGAAAGAGCATATAACCTAAAAAAGAGGAAGAATTCAATTGCCACCATGTTTTAAATAAAATTTCTTCTTAAAGGAATCTATATTTTGTCTAAATTGCAAGCTCTTTGGATGCAGAGTCTAGCTGAAGAATAAAAATGGATGCAAAGATTAGCAGCATTTATCACATATTCTCAAACATGAATAAAGTAAAATACACATCATCAGTAAGTATTAAAAATTAATATATTTTAAAGAATTTAAATTCCCAATCCTATGAAAATTGGGAAAATATAGGCCTGCATTTGTTGACAATATATAAACATGATTAAATTTTTGGAGAAGTAGTACCTAGTATAGAGAGGGTCATCTAATAAATTTTAATAGACTAATAATAGATATTTTTTTATTTGGCATAGAAAAAGTCAATGGCATCCTGTTAGCACATTTATGCAAAATAAAATATCAACACCAAATAATAGACTATTTTAGGAAGTAAAATAAAAACCAAAAAATAAATATTATATGATACATTATAAATGAAATCAGTTACAATAACATTTTTACAAGCTAATTATTTCTCAATTATTTCGGACACAATCCCTAAGGTTAAACCACAGAAAGCACATAAAAATTATTGATATAATTGTGGATTTCCAAAATGCAAATATTTCTATATGTGAACATGTATTAGGATTTTAACCAAGAGATGACACAGCTGGAGAAGAATCTACTGTTTAGATTGCTTACAAAAAAAAAATTAAAAAATATATATATCACATTACATATATATATACACATATATATATAACAGCAATACAATGCCTCAAATACGTATGAGAAAAAACAAACAGAAAATACTCAAAAATGAAAAATCCGTAATATTTTGCACAATTCATCAAGACTTTTTTTTTTAACTTGGTAGTGAATGATAGAGCAAAAATATCTTCTGACAACACTGAAAATTTTTCATTCTCAAACTGTACAACTGCTTTATTGTTGTAATGAAACACTACATAGTTAATTGAAAACAGTTGTCAAACATAATTTTTATATCATAGTCAAATAAATATTGGGAAAGATTATTTGATGTCATGTCACTCAAAATTCATTTGAAGAATGCAATGGTTTTGGAAACTGTTGACAATAATAAATATATACATTGTAGAACATAAGCCAAAGTCCCCTGTTGGAAAATATATCCATTTATATTTTTCTAATATTAATAGTGGCATAATATTTTAAATAAAGGTAATGTAATACGTGATACAGAAACTAAAATTTAATTTACAAAATTGAAAAGCATCAAAAGAATTTCAAAGAAATTATATTGCCAAAGACAATGCATCAAAAGCATCAGGTCTGAGAGAAAAGGACCAGCAAAAAAGACTTAAGAATGATTGATCAATGAGCCAGAAGGTAAAACCAGGGGAGGATGTATTGAAAATAAAGTGAAAAAAAAAAAAAACAAAAAAAAAACTTACGACTAAATGATGAACTGCGTTAAATGCTGGGCAGGTAAAATGAGGACTAAGAATTAACCACCGGATTTAGCGACAAGGAGGTAGGTCATTTGTGACCTAAAGGATAGCAACAGTTTTAAGAATGACGGAGGTGAATGCCTGAAATATGGGCAAAAGGAAGATTTTTTAAGAGAAAAGTAACATGTTTGTATGCTGTTGTAGATTGAATTATGCCCTCTCCCCCCCAAAAATATGTTCAAGTCCTAACCCCAGAACCTGTGAATGTGACCTTATTTGTTAATAAGATCTTTGTAGATGGAACCAAGACGAATTCAAACTGGACTGGAGTGGGCCCCAACCCCAATGGTGTGCTTCCTGGAAGAAACTCAGACCTACAGGCGCATGGGGAGACCACCGTGTGAAGACAGAGGCAAAGATGAGAGCAAGGAGTCTAAGGGACACCAACTGGCAGCGGCCACCAGAAGCTGGGAGGAAACACGGAACAAATCCTCCCCGAGAGCCTCCAGGAGGAACCAGCACTGCCACACTCTTCAGACTTCAGCGTCCAGAAATAGAAGATAAATTTTTGTTGTTTTAAGCCACCCAGTTTGTGGTACTTGTTTAGGCAACCCTAGAAATTAATACATATGCTGATGGAAATGACCCAGTAGAAAGCAAAATGTATTGATTGGTATGGAGGGAAACTGCTGGAATGATATCCTTGAGTAAACAAGGGGAAATAGGTTTTAATGCATAAATGCTCCCGTGCACTTAAGGCAGGACCAGGGAAACTTCTGCGGTGACAGACAGGAAGGCAGAGACGCCCGCTACTTCAGGAAACCAATTGAGAAAAAGACGGGCCGCGCACCAGGTGCAACGAAACAACCTAATAAATGGACCCATGAAGTTCACACGCGTATAAAAATAAAGGTTACATGGACTAAACGCTTGTATTTACAAGAAATATTTAGGGATTTTACGTATTTTCTTCATTTAATCCTAACTATCCTAGGAGGAGTAGATCACCACAAATTTGCCCAAGTTTATCAGTCACCTTCTACCACAAAGAAAACGTTTTCTGGTCTCCCTTCAAGGATTCATCTCAAACGCTTTAATGATACAGTACACAACGAAATGGGGGAGGGGGCGACATAGGGCAGAGAAGAAGCTAGGATTATCGTCTTAGATTTCGCATCAACAGAGGCACAGCTGCCGCTTTTGCCAGAGAACACAACAGAAACCCTCACACTCCGCGGAGGGAAGGACCGCAGGCGCCTCCCCTCCCAGTGGCTAGAATACCTGCTGAGGACGCTGGAAGCCAGGTTACTGGGCGGTTTTGCCTTGGCCAAGCGGGCTCTAAGGTGAAAGAGTTGGAAATGCCGAGCCACCCAGACTTCCTTCAAGGCGGAAGCCTGCAAACCCTTCAGACTCCAGCCTTGTTATTTTACAAACTGACATTTGGGCTGAAAGGCCGGGCCTCTGCGCCCCGAGGCGGCGGCAACGACTGGCCCGGCGCTAAGCCGCGAGGTGGGCGGTTGACGCCGCGTCACCGACGCCCCCGCCGCGCGCCCCCGCCCCGAGAGACCCGCGCCGCGCGCCCCCGCCGCCGCTCTAGGAGCCAAAGCCTGAACCGACAGAGTCTTTCCCGGAACTGAAGGCTAGAGGATTTTCGGCAACTGTGGAGCCCTACGAAGTAATACAGTCCAGACTGCGCTTTCTGTGTTTCTTGCTCCCTGGGCTGTGTACTTCCCTCCAGGACGCTGCACAAGTGAGATTCTTTTAGGCATTTGGCCTAAAGAAATAAAACAGGGGCCTCTTTGGTGCTTGGAGAACTTGGGCTTCATCACCAGCAAAACCTGAGCCCCAGGCCCTTAAAGTCTGCAGTTGTCTAAAGTTCTTTACAGTCCGGGGTTTGGTAGAGTCCCTTACCAGACTTTAAGCTCCCAGGGAATTGTGCAGCGGCTTCGTATTTTAAAAATAAAATGTACCAGAGAGGCATCTGGGTGGCTTAGCCCCTTAAGCTTTTTGAGTCTTGATTTCTGCTCAAGTCATGCCCTCACAGCTCCAGATACCAAATCCTGCTTCAGGGTCCATCCTATTAGCACCGAGCCTGCTTGGGGTCCTCTCTCTCTCTCTCTCTCTCTCTCTCTCTCTCTCTCTCTCTTTCTCCCCTCTTCTCGGCCCATCCCCTGCTTGTACTCTCTCTCAAAATAAATAAATAAACTTAAAAAATAATTAAAAAGTAAAATGGACTAGAAAGTTGCATCATGCCACACAACAGTCTATTGCCATCAGTTTGCATACTACTTGCAAAAGATGTAATTTTCCAAGGTAGAGTTTTTTTGATAGTTTGACTTCAAGAAATGAATTTTTTCTTTTAAAAAATGAAACCTATTGATTTAAAACACTCTCCAAATAAAGTTTTGTCGCCCAAAGTACAATGTTTTAATATTTAAAAATACTAACTTGATATAATTTAATTTTTTAATAATGGCTTGTTTGGTTTGCTATAGGAATATTCAAATAAATAGTTCTAGGGCACCTGGGTCGCTCAGTTGGTTAAGCGTCTGACTTCTCAGGTCATGATCTTGCAATTCACAGGTTCGAACCCCACATTGGGCTCTATGCTGACAGCTCAGAGCCTGGAGCCTGCTTCAGATTCTGTGTCTCCCTCTTTTTCTGACCCTCCCCTGCTTGTTCTCTCTCTCTCTCTCTCTCTCTCTCTCAAAAATGAATAAAAACATTTTTAGAAACATAGCCCAGAACAAAATCTGAAACAAGAAGTACAAAAATGGAAGAGGGCTCCAAATTGAGACATAGAAGGATCCTGAACTCACCTCCTCCCCCAAACACAAGAAATTTCCAGCTACATATGGAAAAATTCCCTTTGCAAAGGACTTTGGAAGCTAAGTGAACAGCACTTCTGCAACATAGGAGAAAAGGGCCACATTGAGACAGGTAGGAGAGGTAAAGACCAAGTCTTGCAAGAAACCTCTCCAAATCCCAGCAGACCCACAATTAGGAGAGATCTCATAACATAAGAGCTTGTCCCTGAAGACAAAGGCTCCCCAACTCTTAGGATCTGCACCAGAGAAACAAGCCACAGAATGTCTGGCCTTGAAAAACAAGGCTTACTTCCAGGAGAACCATGTGGTTTTAATAATGGAACATCCACTCTTAAAGGGCTTGTGCCTAGACTCATTCACCACCCTTACCCTCCAGAGCCAAAGCAACAGTTTAAAAAGGACCTACATCATATGCAAAGGAGACTCATTTGCTAATCTTAAAAATATTTCAATTTATATTCAATTGATAATGTGGTCATTTCAAGGATCTGGGACAATTTAAATTCTTACAAAAAAAAGTGGAATTTCCTACTGACTCATTTTCTAATTTTCAGAGTTATATAGAAGGTATGTGATACAGTGATATATTTATTCATATATATATATAAACTAACATGCTTATATGTAACATAAACTTTCTATATATTGAGATATACACATTTAAAAGGCAGAAAATATTTGTGTTTTATCCTTTCCTAGATATCAGCATACAATAAATGCTTGTTAAGTAAATGTTACAACTTTTTTTCAAAAGTGCAAAAATGTAAGAGATCCATGGAAAATTGTATCCCAATAGATGGAAAAAGAGATACCATGCTAACATTACTCAAAAGAAAACTGTAGTTTTTATATCAATTACAGAAAAACTGGATTTTTGAGTAAAGATGATTACCAGGGATAAAATGGGTTATTACATAATGATAAATAAGTCATTCATTAAGAAGACATAACAATCCTAAACATTTATGAAACTAACAAGAGAGGATCAAAATACACAAAACAAAAGCTGATAGGACTCCAAGAAGAATAGACAAACCTACAATTAAAATCTACAATTAAAGTCAGAGATTTCATCATATCTCCCTCCATAAAATATGTAGACAGAAAATCAGTTAGGATATAGAAACTTGAATACCGCTTTCAATACTAACAACATTATCAACCAATAGTAATTCATGTGTCAAAGAAATAGTCAAAATAGAAATTATTTTGAACTGAATGAAAATAAAAACAAATCATATCAAAATGTGCAGGATGCTGCTAAAGTAGCATATAAAGGTAAATTTCTACACACCTGTCATAGAAAAGAAGAAAGTTCTCAAATAAATGACTTCAAATTAGAAAGGAAAGGCACTAAAAAAAGAAGAGTAAATGAAACACAAAGGAATAAAGGAAATGGTTAAGAACAGAAATCAATCAATAAAAAATATAAACTCATCAGTATAAACTCTACAGATGTCAACAAGATAATAAGGGACTTATGAACAACTTTATGCCTATAAATTCAAAATCTTGGACAAAATGGATAAATTTTCTGAAAGACAGAAATGACCAAAGCTTATTCAAGAAATTGATATCATGAGTACTATTATATGTACTAAAGAAATTGAATTTGTAGTTAAAAAATCAAGAAAAGGTTTCCACCAAAAGAACCCTAAGCCCAGATGGCATCATTGGTGAATAATACAAAACATTAAAGAATAAGCAATAAAAATTTTATACAAATGAGGTCCAGAAAATTGCAGAGGATCCAGCAATACTTCCCAACTCATTTTGTGAGGCAGCATTACCCTAACACTGACATCAAAAACATTATAAGAAAAGAAAACTACAGGTCAATATCCCACATGAACATACATGCAATAATTGTCAATGAAATTTTAGCAAATTGAACCAAACAATATATTAAAAAATAGTAGTCATGACCAGCTGGGGTTTGTTCCAGGGATGCAAGTTTGCAATAACATATGAGAATCAATGCAGGGCGCCTGGGTGGCTCAGTAGGTTAAGTAAGCGTCCATCTTCACCCTAGGTCATGATCTCGCTGTTCCAGAGTTCAAGGCCCCTGTCAGGCTTTGTGCTGACAGCTCAGAGCCTGGAGCCTGTTTCAGATTCTGTGTCTCCCTCTCTCTCTGCCTCTCTTTCTCTCTCTCTCTCTCTCTCTCTCTCTCTCTCTCTCTCTCTCAAAGATAAATAAATGTTAAAAAAAGTTTTTATAAAGGGGCACCTGGGTGGTTCAGTTGGTTGAGTGTCCAACTTTGGCTCAGGTCATGGTCTTACAGTTCATGAGTTCAAGCCCCACATCACGCTCTGTGCTGACAGTGAGGAGCCTGGAGCCTGCTTCCGATTCTGTGTCTCCCTCTCTGCCCCTACCTTGCTTGCACTCTGTCTCTCCATCTCTCTCAAAAATAAACATTAAAAATTTTTTTCCTTTTAATTTCATAGTTACAAACGGGGGGGGGGAGGCAAACCATAGGAGACTCTTAAATACAGAGAACAAACTTGAGGGTTGATAGAGGTGGGGGAGAGGAGAAAGTGGGTAATAAGCATTGAGAAGGGCATTTGTTGGGATGAGCACTGGATGTTGTATGTAAGCCAATTTGACAATAAATTATATTAAAAAATTTTTAAAAGCATGATAATCAATGTAATTCATCATATTTACAGGCTAAACACACACACATATGCACACAGATGATTATCTAAAAAAGAGGGGCTGAAAAAAATAATTGAAAAAATCCAACATCCATTCCAGATTTTTCATAATCTGAAAACTTGAATTAGAAATTTTCTCAGCCTTATAAAACACATCAGTGAAAACCTATAGCTAATATCATACTTAATGGTAAAGATTGACCGCTTTCTCCCTATGATAAGGAACAGGACAAGGATGTCTGTTCTCATTACTTCTTTTCAACAATGTACTTAATGGAAGTCCTAACCAATGTGAAAGTCCAGGAAAAAGAAATGAAGGCATTCAAACTGCAAAGGAAGAAAAATGAAATTTTGATAAAGAGACAAAATGATCTATGTAGAAAATCTGATGAAATCTTCAAAAATTAACTAATAAGCATAACATGGTTGCAGGATACAAGACCAAAATACAAAAGCCAATTGTGTTTCTGTATGCTCTTGATAAACAATGAGAAAGTAAAATACAACAAACACCACTTACCATGGCATCAAATACATGAAATATTTATGCATACTGCTGAAAAAAATGTGCAAAACCTCTACACTGAAAATTATAAAAACTTGCTGAGAGAAAATAAAGATCTAAATAAATGCCAATATACTGGGCTCATGAATTAGAAGATTTAATAATGTTAAGATGCCAGTTCTCCCCTACTTGATCTATAAATTCAATATAATCCCAATCAAAATACCAACAGGTCTTTTCAAAGAAATGGTACTAAAATTCCTTTCAAAATGCAAAGGACATGCAATAAGCAAAACAACTTTGAAAAAGAATAAAGTTGGAGGATTTCGAACAAAAAGTATAGTCCTAGAGGAATCCCTGGTGTCCCCGGGAATAAAGTCTTATTGACCATTTTTGAGCAACGCTCCCGTCCCCCAAGTGGCACCTATTGTTCTCATAAGTGCACACGTTGACAGTGGTTCCAACATGGCCTCCCAGCCACTGATACACCTTAGGTTTCTTACTTCTGTTCAACTAATTGAGAGTCCTTGTTTTTGGAGGGACTGTACGATGGCAGTCAGTCCAATCTGTCCTGTTTGTTTATAATAACAGTTGGGTGGGATTTGTCCATCACATGAAATGCCTGAATAACAGGTATGAGAATGTCTGTGAAAAAGACAACAAATATTTCGACAAGGTTTTGCATAGGAGGTGAAGAAGCTGGGGCCATTTGCTGCTACTTCCAATACTGAGAAGCAAGATTAAGAAAACAGCAATCAAATTGTAATCAAAGCCATACGGCAGAGAGCAATTCAGAAGTCAGTTACATTCAAAAAATATGATTTGCAAGACAAAAATAGATGGTGGCTGCACTATAGCCATTGTTTGGGATGATCTTGAATGACAGTGTTGAAGCAAATTTTTCCTAATGAGAGAAGTTGTGAGCAGTGCCTCTGTTTATCCACTTTGCAGGGAAGAAGTGGCTCAACATAAGAATATATATGGACTCATGGATGGTGGAAAATTGCTTGGCCTACTGATCAAGGGCATAGAAGGAAATAGACTGACAGGTCAGAGACAAGATCCTACGTAGAGGCATGTGGACAGACACATGGAATTTTCCATATCACATATAACTGCCTACTTAGAAGGCATCCACTGCAGAAGAAGCACTGAACAACTTAGTGGACAAAATCATTCAGCTAATTGATATTAGCCAACCTCTGTCTTCAGGCATACTGAACCTGGCACATTGGGCACATGAAAAAGTGGTCACAGTAGGAGAGATGGAGGCTACACATCAGTCCAAAACCATGAAGTTCCTCTTAACGAGGCCAATCAAGCTACTGAATATCCACCATGACAGCAACAGAGGCCAATAACCTAGTGTGACACCATTCCTTGAGGAGGCCACCGGGTCATTTGGGGGCAAGTTGATTAATTTGTGCCCATTCCATCCTGGAAGAACCAGTGAAATACATGGGTCTGGAAGCATAGGGATGGAAGCAGGAGATATCCCAGTTAGCATCATTCCCAATAACCACTAAAGAACTCTGTGCTTTTCTTCCTGCAACTCTGGACTTTGGAAACTTAAAAATCTAGGTCCCCAAAGGGAACAGCAAGTCTCCTCTTGAACTACAAGCTACAGTTTCCACAGCTGCCACAGCTGCCACCTAGACACCCTGGGATCCTTGTATCCAGGAACCAGGAGGCTGGAAGAGGACTGACCACTTGGCAGGCATAAATGATACTGATCAACAGGGTAAACTAGAACTAATGTTACACAGTGGTAGCAGGGAGGAATACATGTGTAATTCAGGTGACCCACCTGAGTGTCTCTTAGTACTCTCTTTCCCAGTTACAACTGTGAATGAGCAAATGCAGCAAACCTAGCCTAAGAACTGTGTGGGCCCTGGGGATCAGATCAGTCAGGAGTTTGGTCACACCACCAGGTAAGCTGGGTAAGTAAGTTGGGTCATGACCAACACAGGGAATAGCTGAAGACAAGGAAATTTAGAACGGATGGTGGAGAAAGGACATGATAAGTGTGAGTTTCAGCCCCCAAATTAACTGCAGCAGTGGAGACTGTAGTGCAGCCCATAGACCTCCCTATTTTAAGTGTATTCTCAGAAAGAGAGGTCCACAGGAGAAACGTGTAAGAAGAAATACGTGCAAAGCAGAGTGTGAACTGTGACAACCATGAAGATCTCACTGTGATGATCACATCTCCCTTCAAGAAAAAACCTGAAGCAAAGAGTATAGGTTGCTGAAAGCCTCTGGCTATGGATGCCATCAGGCTCTGTTTCAGCCTTTGAGATAAGTCCACTTGCCTCTTGGGCATTCCCCAGCTGATGACTAAGCAAACAGCGATATAAAGACTTGCTATTTCTGGCCATTGTGAACTCCTCCATGAGCATTCTCTGTACTTGAGATCCCAACAGGGCTTTCCGAGACTTTCTCACCTATGCCATGGTCTGATCCTCTTTCATTCTCCCTCTCCTTTCACAGGTACCAGCTCAGCATCATTGTCTGAAAGCTTCCTCTGCCACTCCTGCTCCTTCTTCCCTTTAACTTTTACAGTGGTAACCCCTAATAAATCTCTTTCATTTATAACTTCACCTTAGCACCTGCTTCTTGGAGGACCCAAATCAACAAAGAACTAAATGTAAAAACAAAAACCATAAATCTAAAAGAAAACATGAGAGAATGTATTCATGACCTTGGTATGGGTCTTAGACAAGACACAACTATAGCATCAGTTGACTAGTACTTAGTCAAGTACTAACTGTAAAAAAGGAAATTGATAAACTGGACTTCTTTCACAGTTAAAATGAATTATCTTTCAACAGATGAATACATAAACTATGATGTGTCATTACAATGTAATACTGTTCAGCAATAAATAGAAGGGAACTATTGATACACAAAACAATTTGGATGAATCTGGAAAGGCATTATGCTAAGTGAAAAGTACCCAATCTCAAAAAGTTACATACTGTATCATTCCATTTATATGACATTCTCAAAAAGACAAAACTGTAATAATGGAGAGCAGATTAGTATTTTCCAGGGGTTAGAGGTAGGGGAGCTTGTGATTATAAAAGGGTAGCATAAGGGAGTGTTTTAGCATTATGAAACTATTCTGTATCTATATTCACAACGGTTACATCCATTCATGTGTTAAAATTCACAGCAATGGGGGCGCCTGGGTGGCGCAGTCGGTTAAGCGTCCGACTTCAACCAGGTCACGATCTCGCGGTCCGTGAGTTCGAGCCCCACGTCGGGCTCTGGGCTGATGGCTCAGAGCCTGGAGCCTGTTTCCGATTCTGTGTCTCCCTCTCTCTCTCTGCCCCTCCCCCGTTCATGCTCTGTCTCTCTCTGTCCCAAAAATAAATAAACGTTGAAAAAAAAATTAAAAAAAAAATTCACAGCAATGTACACCAAAGAAGTCAATTTTACTATATGTAATTTTTTAAATAAAAAAAAAAACAAAAATAATCACCCACATATTGATGCTTTGCTTAAAATTATTCAATGAATGAATGTTTGGGGCTGAAGTTGCTGCGGCATATGGTAGGTGTGTGTTTAATTTTGTCACAAGTTGCCAGGCTTTTTTCCAGGGTGTTTGTTCTATATCTTGATTGGGGTATGCACTTGTGTCAAAACTCATCAAACTGAGCACTTACAATGGCTGCAATTTATTTTATGTTTAATATACTTCAATAAAGCTGATTAAAAGGAAAATGCTTTAAATTATCCTTACATATCAATAATAAAAGGATTTGAACAGACATTTCACAAATGAATACATAGCATCAATTATTCATTGATGAGCAACATTATTTCTCATTAAGATAATGCAGATTAAAAGCACAATGAGATACCACTACATAGCCACTAGAATGGCTAAATATCACTGAACACCAACTGTTCCAAGAATATAGAACTACTGGAATTCTCATACATTTCTCATTAGTGTGTGAAATGGTACTCAATTTTCAAAAACATTTTGGTCATTTCTTATAAGGTAACCATAATCTTACCCTCTGACTAAGCAATTCCATTCCATATGTACACAAAAATACATGGACATGGAACATTTGATTATAATAGTACAAAACTTAAACCATATAAATGTCCATTAAAAGGACTACGAGTAACCAAACTGTGTCATACTCATATAATAGAATACTAATCAGTAACATGAGTAATAATCACTGCCACACACATTGTCATAAATAAATCTCACAGACATTATAAGCAAAAGAAGATAAATACAAAAGTCTATATACTGTATGATTCCATTTATATGAATTTCAAAAAAAGTAAAACTAATATATATAGTGATATATGTTTGTCAGCCTCCAAGATGCCGTCAATGATCTTTGCCTCCTGGTTTTCATATCCTTGTGTAGTCCCTTCCTACACTGAATCATGTCTGGCCACATGACCACTACAATATTGTAGAAGTGACAGTGCATGACTTCCAGAGTTAAGTCATAAAATACATTGCAGTTTCTGCCTCAGCCTCACTTGGATCGTTGACTCTGGGAAGCCAGCCACCATAGCACAAGGACACTTAAGCAGACTTGCATAAGGCTCATGTGAGGAAGAACTTGCTGGCCCTGTGAATAAGCCACCATTCAAACATTCAGATGACTACAATCCTGGGCCTTGCTGACATGTGACACAATCTCAAGAAAGGCTCTAGTGAAACCATCTAAACAATGGAGTCCCAAATTCCTGACCCACAAAACTTACAAAATGTAATAAGTATTGCTTAGTATTTTAAGCCACAAAGTTTTGGATAATATTTATGCAGTAATAGATACCTAAGACATGATAAAAATCAAAACAATATTTGTGGGAAGGGGCATATTGACTGAAAAGAAGCACAGGGTAACTTTTAGGGGTAATAGAAATGTTCTATATCTTAATCCTGATGATGTTTATATGGATGTATTCATATGTCAAACTTTTGAACTAAATGCTTATGATCTATGCATTTTATTGCATTTAATACATATGAATAAAAATTAAACAAACAATAAAGAAAACATGATTCAGGAAAGAAAAAGTTCATTCATAATAGTAACTACACCATAAAATATCTAGAAACAAACATTAAAAATGTGCAAATTCATGGGCGCTTGGGTGGCTCAGTGGGTTAAGTGTCTGACTTGATTTCAGCTCAAGTCATGATCTCATGGTTTGGTTCCTGAAATGGAGCCCTGTGTCAGGCTCTGCATTGACAGCATGGAGCCTGCTTGGGATTAACTCTCTTGCTCCCTTGCCCTCTCTCTCAAAATAAGTAAATAAACATTTTTTAAATATGCAAATTCTATACAAAACAAAAAAGACTAACTCCTTGGAGAATAATATCAAGGGGGATAAAGACCTGAATAAAAAGAGAGACAGACCATGTTCATAATAATAAAGGTAATTAAAACGACTAACATTTGTTGAGTGCTTTTAATGTAGCAGACTCTGGTTCAAGCACTGCACATGGATTATATCATATTATACCTTAAAATAACACATGAAGTTATTTCTATTTCATAGACAATGAAACAAATTGAGAGGTTAAGTCAATATTGTCAATATGTCTATTCTGCAGATAGCAATCCTTAAATTCAGTGTTATACCAAGCAAAAACTCCAACACCATTTTTATGAAATTTGGAGGACTAATTCCACAATATATATATATATGGAAGAGAAAAAGAACAGTGACAGGGGGATATGCTTTATCAAATCATGCAAAGTATGCAAAATAAATAGTGACTTAAACGGACAAATTTGGAAAAGAAAAACATTAACAAATAAGTAGGGAAACTGAATATAAAGCCCAGAAATAGATCCATAGATACAAAAATTTCTAGTTGTAAAAATACAATATTTCGAATCACTGGTGAAAGAATATGCAATTCAGTAAAATGGTTTGGATATATATCTACCGTCTGGGAAATAACTTACATTGAGTTCCAACTTCATACCATATAAAAAGTTCTAAATCAATTAAAATATTAAATGCTAAGTAGCTACAAAGTATTAGAAAGAAAAGAAATGTAGGGGCACCTGGGTGGCAGAGTCGGTTAACTGTCCAACTCTTGGTTTGAGTCAGGTCATGATTTCATGGTTTGTGAGTTCAAGCCCCATGTCACTCTCTGAGCTGTCAGCTTGGGACTCTCTGTCTCCCTCTCTCTCTGCCCCGCCTCCACTCATGCTTGAGCACTTTCCCTTTCTAGGAAGAAAGAAAAGAAAGAA